TGGCATGGGGACTGGGGCTGGCGCCTACATCCTCACTCGATTTGCTCTGAACAACCCCGAGATGGTGGAGGGCCTGGTGCTCATCAACATGAACCCCTGTGCCGAGGGCTAGATGGACTGGGCGGCCTCCAAGATCTCTGGATGAACCAGGTCCTTCCGGACATGGTGGTGTCCCACCTCTTTGGGAAGGAGGAAATGCAGAACAACGTGGAGGTGGTGCACACCTACCGCCAGCAGATCCTTAACGACATGAACCCGGGCAACCCGCACCTGTTCATCAACGCCTACAACAGCTGGCGGGACCTGGAGATCGAGCGGCCGATCCCGGGAGTGCACACGGTCACCCTGCAGTGCCCTGTGTTGCTGGTGGTTGGGGACAGTTCTCCCGCCATGGATGATGTGGTGGAGTGCACCTCAAAACTGGACCCAACCAAGACCACCCTCCTCAAGACGGCGGACTGTGGCGGCCTCCCGCAGATCTCCCAGCCAGCCAAGCTCGCGGAGGCTTTCAAGTACTTGGTGCAGGGCATGGGATACATGCCCTCTGCCAGCATGACCCGCCTGATGCGGCCTCGGGCTCCAGTGTCACGTCCCTGGAGGGCACCCGGAGCCGCTCCCACCCCAGTGAGGTCTCCTGCCTGGACATCACCCCCAACGCCGGCTCCACTGGGAACAACGCCGGGCCCAAGTCCATGGAGGTGTCCTGCTAGGCGGTCTGCGCGCACCGCCGCCCCCTGGTCTGTGGGACCACAGTAGCTGCCCCCTCCTCTCGCCCTCCCCAGCCCCTGCCCGCCATACCACATGCAACTCGGTATTAACCCCAAGCTAGTTTTGTAGGAGGGAGCTCTGGCCATGGCTTTAGATGGGATTTGTCCAGGGCGCCCCCTCCAGGGCCGGGCGGGGTGGACCAAAGGAACGGAAGCATCTTAGTGTCCCCTGTGCATTGAAGAGTGGCCTGGTGGCCGCTGGCTTCCCCTCCCTCCAAGATGCCAAACTGCCCCAAACAAGAAACATAGCAGGAAATAGGTCCTAATCCAGGCCTAGGCTGACCCGGGCATCCGGGCTCTCAGGGGCCTTTGGGGGAAGTCAGCCCACCTGCTTCTGTTTCCTCTCCTGCTAAAGACAAACCCACCCAGTTTCTGGAAACAATACCCTCCTCTGGTTTGGGGAGGAGGGAGCAGCGAGCCCAGGGGGGTGGGCTGGTGGAGGCAGAACAGGCACTGGG